TTCTCTGACTGAATGGTTGACGAGTAACTCTAACAGAGGCGGAAGGTTTTACGTAGACGTAAAGAAAGGAAACCAATTGCTTGCAGATTACTATTTTAAGAASATCCACGAAAAATCCGTCAACATCACTACCCAGTTTGTATACAACCTTGCAACTTATATCGTAAGAGGCTCAAGCACAAAACAACATGTATACGATTTTAAAAATCTTAATCAAAAAATGGTCCAAGTATGTGACACCAGCACAAATATTACAGCGCTCCACATTGCAGCAGGCGAAGAAAACGAAADAACTGTGGCTCTCCTTCTTAATTTTTTTGAAAATGTAGACATTGAAGATAACAAGGGTCGCACCCCAGCGTTCTACGCCGCAAGGTTTGATCGTGTATCCAATCTTCGCTTACTTTACCAAAAAGGAACCTCATTAGCACATACGACATCAACGCTAACATGTGGTAATCCCAACGCAGAAGAAGACGATGTTCAAGATTGTGAACATCAGATGTGCGGRTACAGTTTGTTGCATGTTGCTTCTCAAAGAGGTCACCACCAAACTATGAAGTTTCTTCTTGAGAATAATGTCAGTGTCTCCACTTTGTCAGGATCSGGTTACAGTGCATTGCATCTTRCTGCCAAGTACAATCATTCTGAAACGATCAAGACTCTAATGGAACATGGTGCAGTTCCTGATAGTAGATGTCTCTATTATGCTGCTATGAACGGGAATTCTATGGCTATACGTGTTTTTCTCGAGAATGGAGCTGAAGACACTTGCATGAATTGTAATGAGATGTCCAATGGTTATTTCAAAGGGCAATGCCATTTTCTTAATCTTGAAGACCGCCAAAACTATAGACAAGATTGTAATACAGCTTTGCATATTGCTGCTATCAAAAACTTGTCCAAAATTGCGAAGTTGCTTCTTAAATCAACTAAAAAGGCAGTCCATTGCATAAACTTCTATGGAAAGGATCCACTGCTTGAAGCAGTTGAGAAAAGGCACTTGAAAGTGACAAAATTGCTTTTAAAGTCAGGAGCAAACCCCTCCAGCATCTGCAACTATTATTCAATACTGGACTCYTTRCCTTTCTCTTGGCCTTGTGGCTACACGCCGCTGCACGTGGCAGYAMACAGCGGCGCTGCTGCCATAGCAAACTTACTCYTGAAATACAAAGCTGATCATAATGCCAGAGATTGCGAAGGCCTGCAGCCAATTCACGTTGCATCATGCTATGGACATGCAGATATTTTGTCTATTCTTGTGGAAAAAGGCGCAGATATCAACAGTAAAGGTCCAAATGATATGACTCCCATCCATTATGCTTGTAAGTGTCAGAATGATGGGATTTTTGACAAACTGTTTGAACTTGGAGCTAATGGTACTGCCATAACCTCAGATGGAAACACATCAATCCACTATATTATTCAAAAGCATTCTATTGACGAAGAATTCTATTTAATGGATCCATACGTTGCGACCCCAATTGAGCCAATAGATGCAAATTATAGAAGTGTCATCGAGAATCCATTCAAGCACAAGTACCCTTGGATGATCTCTATGATCAGGTTTCTGGCAAGCTTTACGAAAGGAAAATCATATGACTTGGAATCGATGTATCGTCTGAAATTGATGACACTTTTTGTAGATATCATTTCAAATGYCTCAAAATCAATGCTTGCTACTCTAGAGACCTCGAGTTGGAAGTTTGTTGCGCTCACGTCACCTTTGTTTTACGCTTATGACATCGGTGTGATATCTGATAGCCAGAATTTAAAGGACAAGTTAGAATCTATGTCAGAGGCTCATAAATTGCTTTTTAAAGCCTTAATTCGTGATGATACTGATTGTGCCTCTGTAATATCTTTTATAGAGCTCAATCTGATATACTATTTCGATTACTTGTTGGGCATTGGCTATGATGTTAATTGTAATGACTTAGAGTCGTCATCAAGACCTCTTCTTGCTTATCTAAGACAAGGGGGGCGCAACATGGCCAAAGTACTTGTAAAACATGGTGTTACTGTTGATATACGATGTGGAGAATTATTTGAGGATTCTGCATTCCATCTTGCTGCCTACCACAAGGTACACTATCTGCAGTACTTATCAGTATTTCGAGATCCAGTCAAGTGGGTAGAATATCTCGAGCAAGAAAATGCTTTATTTGATTACTTGTTTGATGAATACGATAAAATAACCGTAGGGGAACAAGTGAAAGTAGTAAGAGTACGCGATGGACCTGTTACTAAAGCCATCAAATCACATCCCCGAGGTTACAAGATCATCGATGAATGTCTTGATGATGAAGGCTATACAGCTCTTCACCGAGCAGCTCAAGGAGGCAATGTTGTTGCTGTCAAACACCTTTTGGATTGGGGAGCCGATGCTACCAAAGAAAGTCCAGAAGGATTTGACGCTTTGACTCTTGCAATTTGGTATGCCGTCAAATACCGTCCATATTTCAATTTCCACAAGCTAAATCTTTTAACATCCCTAGAAATCGAATTTGCGTCTTTTACTGCAAGTGCTATTTTAAGCCACTTAACAAGAGACAATCCATTTCATGTAGGCTGTGATGCCACCAAAAAGGCTCCTACAATCTTACATTTAGCAGCCACTCGAGGAATGTGGAGGTTCATTGACGACTTGTTCGTTGCCAGAGGCCACTACAAAGTCACTGGTTTAACTGCTAATTGTCCCACAAGGGATAACATCACGCCCATGTACTTAGCCAAGCTGCATGGTGGGGAAGATTGCGACTGGGATAATCCTTGGTGTAAGGTTGTTGGGGTGTTACTTAAGTATGGGGCATCCATGATTTACCCAGATCCACTGACAGAATACTCGTTGGTTTTTAATTTTTTGTTTCATGAAGTTCCTGGAAGATTGGATCTTCATTTAGATAAAGAGGAACTAAAAATGCTACAAGACGTTATGAAAGAATTCATTCGATGTAGCGACTTTGAGGACTTTGATATCACAGATGTTTTTGAGAGCGATATAGTTTTTCTTCCGACAAGTATTTCCAACATCTATGTATATAGGAACGGCATCCAGAAATTGTTTTTAGACGCCACACATCCTCTTTTTAAAACAGTTGATGAATTTGAAAGAATGAGAAATATCTTCAATCATTTTTTAACACTTGAGCTAAATGAGCTCAGGTCAATCTTTGTCTACTTAAAAAACATGGATGACGTAACACTAAGGTGTATAAGACCGAACTATCAAGACCAACCACGTCAGATCTCAGAAGAACAAAGTAAGAGTGACATGATGTATCCCGAAGAATTCATAAAACTTTTAAATGATTTAGAACGAGAACGTCTTATGACCGATATAAGAAAGACGTCAATATCATTTCCGCCCCATGAATATACTGCAGCGGCACTAAATTTAAACATGTGTTCRCCAGAAGCAGCAGCTAAGATGTTCGAAACCATTGAAAGTTGCCTTGATAATAATCGTCAAGTTTTTAGAAATTACCGAAAATCATTAAGCCGGGAACTAAAAACTGCAAAACAAGTTTTTCAGCAATACTTATTGGAACTTGGAAGATCGGATTCTTCGGTAATAAGAACTTTGAAAAGCTACGAAAAAAACCTGACATGTCCAATTAAAATGATCACATACCAATATCTAAAGATGAAGTTTCTATTAAAAACTATCAGATTTTGGGACAGGCAAGTACGTAAAATATCTGTTTATCCAAGTATATCGAAATTTGTGGCACAACGAATTACAGATGTCTTTCTAAATGACAATGCTAAAGAAATGACCAGATTTATACTTGAACTAGCTTCTAAAACTCCTTCGGATAAATACAAGTACCTAAAAATGTTGAGGTTTACAAAAGCACCCATGTTTGACAGGACGCTCTTTAATAGAGATTAAGATTAGCGATTTAATATCTTTTAGGGTACTGATGGCGCGCATTCCTTCCCATGAGAATGAAAGGACAAAAGATGTGACCGACATGTTGGTTTAAATAACAAAACAAACAAAAAGTCGACTACGACGTCACATGCACCCCAAGAGATGAAATTGACATTTAGAACTCTGGTATTAGAGTGAACCGTGAACATTAAATAGTACTAATTAGTACTATTTCATACAGAATTCTTTGTTTTCTATTGCTTAATTATCACTATTTAGTGCTAAAAATTAGTATTTGTTTCACGGATTTAGTGTGAGCACTCTACTTATCTTTTAGGGTGTCGAGTAAGAAAATCAATTTAATATGTAATTATCCATAAAATACCTATATTTCTCCTATTCGAAAAACTGATATTTTCACATGTGAAAATAACATGCTATTTTCACATGTGAAAATATCGTTACCATGTGTATTTAAGCTATTAGTCTATAAATAAAAACTTTTTTGATAATAAAAAGCTTGTTAAGTTGATTTTATGGATAATTATATAATAAACAGAATATCACATGGCCGCTTGGAGATACGAAATTTATCTTCTCGTGTTGAAAATCTCTCACTTGTTCGCTGCGCTCACTCGTGAGAGATCTTTTCAACACTCGAAGATAAATTTCGTATCTCCGCGCGCCCATGTAATATCCTCTATTCATTAACTACCTATTAAATATAGTTAAAAAACTCATTAATAATTCATGAAGGAAACACGATAGAAATCATGACCATGAAGGAGGTTTTATATCTGATTTATATCGGATATAGATTCGTCTTCATTTGCATAAACTTTAACTTGGATTTTCTCTATCAAACTTGGTTCATTTCGTAAAGAATTCTGTACAATATGAGAACATACATCATGAGTTTTCTAAGCCGTTCAATGAACTCGCAGATCGTGTTTTATCGGGTCTAAAACCACTCGGCTACGCCTCGTGTTTTATACCCGATAAAACACTCCTGCTCGTTTATTAAACAGTACATAATACTCAAGAAATAATTAAGCATTAAAAATGACACTTTTTTTTCATTTATGGATGCTATCTTGTAGGGTTTAAAAATCTATAAAACACGTTAATTTAAAAAAAAAAACTGGTATCTTTTATTATAACCAGTATACAAAAGTGCATATCAAATTAGCTATTATAATTTAAATCTCTAGATACACAAAAAGTTAACAAAATCTGGTCTTCTTTGGGCAGTTTTATGGTTTCTGTGACTTTATTTATTTAGTTTTTTCTTTTCTTTACAGCCCGTGATCTATTTTACCACTAATGACCTCGACAATGTCTAGCCATCTCAGGGTGTATTTAGCTTCCATTACTGAACCAAAGTAGTTGCAATCTCATACTGTAAAATTTATAAGCCAAAGCAATGGGTGGTTTAGAAGATTGCAGTTAGCAGTGAATGATGAAAAAAAGGCCTTAGATGGAATCACTGAATAGACCTTAAGTTGGGCATAATGTTATCCCATTTCAGACAACGTGTCATTTCCTAGAGTATCATTTCTTTGTTTAA